TTTTCTAAAACCAAATTTAATCTTTGAAGATTCATTTTTCACACATCAATTAATTCCTATTTATTCACCTGTACCTAAATGTGAGATAGATAAGCAGAAATACACTACATCCTCAGTATTCCCGGATTCCATTACTTGCAAAGTCACCTACTGGCATAAATTCTGCAGGTGATGCATGTAAAGTACCACAATCTGGATGCCTCCTGCCCCCATCAATGTTCCTCATCCTAGCCAATTCTTCAAGAGCTGATAATCAATTCATTTATTCATTCATTCAAATATTCATAGAGCACCTACCATGTTCCAAATACCATCCTTACTGCAACATCTGTGCCCAATGATAACAAAGAAATATAGGAAAAAATAAAGCAGAGCAAAGGGAAAAGGGCAAGTATGAAGGAAGCTTGAATCTGAGGTTAGGGAGGCCTCAAGGACAACTAGAATGACGAAGTTGCCATTTACTGGGATGGTAAAGGCTGCAAGAAAACCAAGATCAAGAAAGTGGTTTTAGATACGCACTAAATTGGAAATGCTTGTTATACTCACCATTAAAGAGTTTTTATAACCCAATCTCCAGCCCATCCTACCTTGGAGGTCAGGGGGTGGAGCTGAAACTTCCCATCCTCTAATGATATGTTTGGTATTTTTAGTGACCAGCTGCTATCCTGAAACAATCTAGGGGCCCCACCCTGAGCTGCCTCATTAACATAAACTCAGGTGTGGTCAAAAGGGCCTGCTATGAATTACAAAAGATGCTATCACTCAGGAAATTCCAAGGTTTTGGGGAGCTTTGTGCCCAAAAGACCAAACATTTTTAATTTTCTCATGGAGATGAACTCAGTACTTGCCCTCTGCTCTCAGAGACATGGGCAAAGAAAAAGTTTGTTTAGTACAGCAGAGGGAATATAGTCAATAATATTGTAATGACTACGTATGGTGCTGGGTGGGTACTAAACTTATCAGGGGACCATGTCAGAAGTTATACATATCTAACTACGATGCTGTATACCTGAAACTAATATATATTTTTTTAAATTAAGTTTATTGTGGTAACATTGCTTAATGCAATCATATAATTTTCAGGTAAACATTATTATTTGACATCTGTATATTCTATTGTGTGTTCACCACCCAAAGTCCAGTTTCCTTCAGCTTGAAACTAATATATTATTGAATGTCAACTGTAACTGAAAAAAATTTTTTAATTAAATAAAAGCATAAACTACATTTTGAAAAATTTTTAAAAAGCTTGTTTCTATTTGGATAGTGATAACAGGGAATGAATATACAAACCTAAGTTGATTCATTTCACGTAAAAGTACAGTGTACCCCCATTAGTAGACCTTTTCTTGGACTCTTGCAATTTATTGTTGAAAGTAATGACTATGTCGTATTCTTTTCCAGAATTTGTTATTCCGTAGTAGAACCAGATTTTAGTTCTCTTCGTGTTTCAGAACCATGCTTCCAAGAGATGCGCAAATATTTGGGAGATGAATGAGTGTATGTCATATGGCCCAAAGACTGGGAATGAATGAGGAAGGTAAAATAATGCCTAAGGTCTGTGAAAAAACGAGTTGTTTTATGGAAAGATTCTATGAAAACATTGCCTATGTGAAAATTGCATTCAGAAACTCAGATTTTACTAGTTTCCTTGTGTCTCCCCTACTGGAGTGAAAGGTCCTCAAGAGCAGGGATTATGCTTTATTAATTTGTGGACACTCTTCACCACCACCACAGTATCTGAACATAAGAGTTCATTTAGTACTGTATTAATATAAGGGTTATCCATTCTGAAACAATGCTGGTTTGTACCACACTTAAGACTTATGTGTAATGGGAATATAATAATCTATATTGGGATTCTTTCTTCATTCCTTCTTAGAATACATGAAGGCCTATTATACATCAGGCACTACTCTAGGATCCAGAGACAGAGCAATGAATAAGCCAAACAAGGTCCCCATGCCTTCATGGAGCTTAAACTAAACTCTCACTGGGGAAACAGATACATAAAATAGCTTATTTCTGAGAATGCTAAGTGCTTTGAAAACTAAGATTAAATGAGTGACTGGACAGACTACTGTAGGTGGTCAGGGTCCTTCTCTCTGAGACAACAACTGATGTGAGATCTGAATGGAGAGAAACCAGCCATGTGAAGAGCAAAAGGAAGAATGAGGAGTGTACAAGGTCCGCCTGTTGGTAGAAAGTTGAGAGTAGTGAGGAGAATGAAGAGATGTATGGAGAATGAGGTGGCTACATCACAAATCCTTGTAGGGCACAGTAAGAAATCTGGGTTATATTTAGAGGGAAATGGGAAGCCATTGGAGGATAAACTTTAAACAAGGAGTGACGTTTTTAAAAGAGTGGAACTGATCTAATAAAGCAAAAGAAACAAAAAACTGGATGGTAGGAGAGGGGGATACCAACTGGAGCCAAAACTCAGTCAAGACCACGGAAAAGATTGGGACTTGGGATGAGAAGATGAGAAGGGAGATAAGAAAAAACAAAATAAGATGGGTTGAAAGTCTATTTACAGACTGTCACTCAGGCAGCCAAGTTTACAACAGCCAATAGGGAAATGAGAGGATTCCTCTCTAGAGAGATGGAATACCCACAGAGAACGGAACCTCTAGATACTAACAATTAGGGATTCCCCTGGAGAAGAAGCCCTATCACCCTGCAATGATGAGCCCAGAGCTGACACTGAGAATTTATCATCATCTCTTACTACCTCACCCTTAAATATAAATAGATCATTAGACATTTGCAGAAAACCTCCAATCATAAAAAGAATCCAAAGCAATCAAACAAAAATAAAATATATGTAAGAAATAAAGGCAATGCAGAGAAAAAAAATTTATTAAAAATAAAAACAGGAGGTCCAACATCCAACCAACAGAAGTTTTGAAGAATGAAGAAAATGGAGGGGAGAAAATTATCAAAGATCTAATAAAAAATTTCCCCAGATATGCGGAAAAAAATCTCAATCAAAAGGGCCCAGAAAAAAAAAAAATGAAAGAGAAACATACCAAGGCATACCATTATGACATTTCAGAATATCATTAATTTAAAATAAAAAAAAAAAATCCTGAAAGAATCTAGAAAGAGAAACCAAGTCACTTATAAGGACCAGAAAATAGAAGACATTAAATTTCTCAAAATTAGACCTAGGAAGCTAGAAATCAATGGAGTAATAATTTTAAAATTCAGATGAAAATATCTGCAACCTGCAATCTGTTCAAATTATCAATCAAGTATAAAGGTAGAAAAATAAAATAAAATAAAAATTTCAGGCAGGCACTAGCTCAAAAAATTATCTTCCATGCATTCTTAGAAAGCCACTAAAATATATGCTTGAACAAAACAAGACTGTGAAATGAGAAAGATGGTCACATGAGATCTGGAAAACAGTTTCCAGCAGAGAAAAGGAAAGAGTAGGCTGAGAATGAAAATTTCAAGAAAAATGGAGAAACCATACAAGAAAGAAAACATAGTCATATTACATTATTTGATAATATTTACACTGTCAAAATATAAATCTTAACTATCAAGTTAACCAAAATTGTCATTAGTAATGGCATGCAGGAAAAGAAATGGGGACTATATCATGGTTAGTAAATAATGACAAAAATTGCAAAATCAAGAAATAGCTCTGAATAAATTACTAAAAATATGGAAATAAACAACTAAGGAAAACAGTGATACTGAGGATTAAAGGGAACTTCTTTTTTTATAACTCTTTTAGTACTACTGGCTTTGAAACTTTATTTCTTTTGTTAAAAATATTTGAGAAAACATTTTCTGAATAAAAAAGTCTGACTAGTATGTGAAAAGTAGATTATAAAGAAAAGAGGGAACAGAAAAACACTAGTTAGAAAAATGAGGCAAGCCCAAAACAGAGGATGGTGGTGGTGTTAGACATAAAGAAGAAAACATATTCTAGATTTTTTAAAGAAATAAAATTGGACTTTCAGATGGAGTTGATATTTGTAAGGGGAGATGGATGAGAAGCAAAGGGCAAAACAAAGTATGATACCCAAGACCTTGGCTACTGGTAACATGTGAGATGGGAAGGGTGGGGTGAGGGAGAACAGGTGGTACATTTAGTACATCATATAATGAATACACCCTATACTACATAGAGCCTATAGTATTTATTTTGAATTCTGACCAATAATTTCATCAACCTGAACTCATACTTCAATACTGCAATTATGAAAAAAGAAACTCACTGACATCTGGTTCTAAATACTTCCCAAATTTTCACAATTACTCAGCCACTCTAAGGGACTTGTGGTTATCAGTTACTGTGTATAAAGAAATCAAAAAGATCTAAAATTGTGCTAATATTACCTTAAGAAAGTTTTATGTCCTCTCATTCCAAGAAGGTAAAACTCACAGCAAACATAACAGCACCATTATTATAGAACTAAGAGTTGGGTTACCTGACCCTGGAAGTTTAATATAGCCAGTGTTTTTAAGTTCTGCCTAGTCTCAACATTTCTGTTTGGAATTTAGTTTAAGCCTGAACTCTAAGTAAACAATTTCACTTGTGCTCAAATCCAACTCTGACCCTATCTTTTCGTAAATGACAGTAATGAAACCTCTCATTATCATTGGGGTCAGAATCTGTTAAAAACTTAAAGGAGTAACCAATCACTTCACCTTCGAATACAGGCCAAGGTTAAAATCTGGGCAGAGTGTGGTAAGAATGGCAATCAAGGGCAGACGCGGCCGGTGAAGCAATATCTGGTTTAAGCCCGAGTCAAGATGCCCAGTCTTGGATCCTGTTCCTTCCCTCTTCAGGATGCCAGAGGGCCTGTCATAGGTCTGAGTTCACTCCTGAGAGGTCAATGGACAGGTAAGAGGTAAGATGATTTAAGACACTTGTCCACGCCTTAATATTTTTTTAACCAGACAAAACCAGCAAGTCAGCAACACGAGTCGAGCTGGCGTTTGTACCGCAGCGTGCAATTCCCCACGGTGGATGCCCCACTCACCGCACACCATCAGCAGCAGGACGATCAGCAGCGTGGCCACGAACACCAGCAGGGTCAACCCGACGTTGTGCCACATCTTGGAGGTTGGGGGCGGCCGGCTCAGAGCGATGCGGCGGTGGGCGCGGGCGGGAGG